GAACCTCTTAACCCCCCCCCCTCCCCCACCCGCCCCGTAAATACGCCACCGGCGACCGCTACACCGCGTAAACTATCGTAATGTTATTATTATTATTATTATTATTGTTGATAAGAAGCACGTGCGCTACGACAGCGGGACGCTTGAACGGCTAACAGAGACGCGCGTTGGCGTCCCCCGGGGCGTTTTCGCCTCGGGAGTTTTCCCGTCCGCAACGGGCGACACAGCGCGACTGCGACTAATGAAGATTGGGGAAATGATAATATTGCACTCTGCCCGTGTATTGGCTGGCGACGACGCTGGTAATGCGTGCGGACGTCGTATCACGTTGCCGTTGTCCGCCGCGCGTCGAACGGGTTACGGGTCGGCGGCCGGCGTCGCCGCGGTAGACGGGCCGGTGCCCGGCGCGGCCGCGGTCGACGGGTTCCTGTACGCGAAACCGTTGTCGGTGGACGCGCCGATGCCGCTGTGGCCGTTGTAGTGGAGCGGCGCGGGCTCGGACGGCCGGACGTCCGAGCCCGACGGCACGGCGTCCCCGTCCGGTCTCCTCTGCAGGTAGTCCCGTTGCCGTTCGTTCCATCCGCCTGCGCCGCCGGACGTCTGCGACGGGCCCCTGCGAATGAACGATGACCGTTGATTTATTATCGTTGTTGTTTGACGTTTACCGGGTCCCGGTCACCCACCCGCGACAGTCCACACCAAAATAAAGACACGCGATCCGCGCCGTCTCGGGTGGCGGGACATTTTTTTTTGCGTAAACTCTTTTTATCGTATACATAATAATTCAAATGCTTTGAGATCGAAAATGTAAAACGTTGACGACCGTCGCGCGCGGGTTTTTAATTTAATCCTCATACTTATTTTGATATTACTAATATCGTCACGTCACGAGCCCACGAAATAACTGATCTAAGCGATATTTCCTTATTTTCTCAAATCCTTAACTTTACCGAACTCGTATACAGCCTGTGTAAAACAGAAAAAAAAAATGTGCTCGTAAAGATGTTTAACCAACGGAATTCGATCGCGAATGCCGGAAAATGAACTGAAAAGGAAAAAACGTAGAAAAAACGTAGAAAAAAAACGCGAAATAAAAGTCTCGTGAATTAATTTGTTGTCACGTAGTTTAAACTGTGTACTCGGAAAGCTACGTTTTATAATCGGCTGAGAAAAAAAAATAACAAAAAACAACGCACTTTCCTACAAACGCACAGCCCCGCCCGTCGGTGTCCGAGGACTAAATTACAATCGCGCGCAATTTGAACGGGGCGGTTCAGAGAATTTCCCACCCCCCCCCCAACGAAACGGGGTCGTTCCGCGCGCAGACCGGCCGCGGACCGCCGATTCGGGGCGGGAGAGCGCGTCGCGACCGTACGAATTAAACCGGGTTCGGCGCCGGCACGTTTATTGTGCCGATCGTTTAGATTATAAAAAAAAAAAAAAAAAAAACCCATTCGTCAAAACGTACGACTAATCGCGCCGCGCGCGCGTATAAACGGTCCGCGGCGATTTCAAGGTCCGGTTTTGTTTAATACTATTGTTGTTACCGTAAAAACAATACGATATTCGCACGGGTAACAATGCTGCGCGCCGCGCGGTCTCCGGCATAAATTTAACGGTACGCCGGCCCGGACGGACTCGCGGTGCACACGCGATGTTTTTTTGTATCTTTGTTTTGTTTTGTTTTTTTTTTTTTTTTTACCAGCGTCGACCTTTCGGGTTGGCGACCGCGGCGTTGGTTCTTCGACCTTTATTGTGTTTATACGCAATTACCACTTGTGCACGTACCGGACTACGCGTAATGCCCGTATTGCGGCGCGTACGTTCGACTGAGAATAATTACAGTGGCAAAACGAGCGGTCGTATTATTATTGTTATTATTATACGCTGTAGACAGCAAACGAGAGAAAAAAAAAACCAGAAACCTTGTGCGCGGTGTTTCGCAACGCGGTAATACCGGAATAGAGTCAAGGGGAAGTACTTAATCGTACTCGAATATTAGGCGTGTACGTTGTATTTTACGCGTGGCACTTATTACCTACACTAATTCGCTGTTATTGTATGACGCGAATCCGGGAAGCCCCTCTAAAGCCAAACCGGTTCGGACGGGAGACGCGAAAAAGAAATAATGCACAAACGGAATGTGTCCGGAGCCGGCGGGCTGGCGTTAAAATTTTTTTTGAAATTACCATTTTCACATCGACAAACACCAGTGTCCGTTGTGTCGGGAAGACCCTCCCGTACGTCCGGAGATTTATAGTGTGGCATTGTGCTGTGCGCGGGAGTGACGCGGCAACACGCGGGCTATTGTTAACGAAGAACGAAGAAGAATTTTGATTTCATACTTGTTGTTTTTTTATATTTTTATTATTTTTTTTCGCCTATTTCAACGTTTTTAAAGTGTTCGTTTGAGTGCTAAAAATCCCGAGCCCTACAGACAGTATTACTCCATCATCATGCACAGCTACGGGACCGTTAAGGCCCGTTACCGTCATCACAAATGTTTCCCGTTCTCCTCTTCCATACGCCATGTCTATTGTCTGAACTCCTTCTTGTAGCCTATTTAGATCCTTCACAACAGAGTCCCTCCGTCTTCTTTAGGACTGCCTATGGGTCTTTTACCTTTTATTCCCGTCACTGGTATTTCATACTTGTTTAATAATTCAGTCATTTGTCCTCCATAAATACCCTAACCAATCAAGTCTTTTACTTCACATATATGAGAGAATATTTGGTCTTCCATATAGACTTCTTGTAGTTCTTTCATATCGTTCTGTTTTACTGTTGTGTATGGAAGACCATAGAGACCCTAAAATATATAACGTACACTTTTATTATCATCTTACCTCATGGAATTGGAATAATAATCCCAATTAGACGCGTAGCCTTTTCCGTATCCCGAGCCCGTCTGTTGTTGCGATCCGTAAACGTCGTTTCCGTTCGCGAACGGCCTATCGTTATCGTAGCCCGGTCTGCTGTTTGTTTGAGAGCTGCCGCCGTTATTGGAATAACCTCCGAACTGATTAAAGTCCGGTCTTTGAGAACCATATTCTGATACCATAGCTGTACCGTGGTACATGGAACCGACATAAGGTCTGCTGGATCCGTAGTTCGGTCTTCCCATTCCGTTACTGGGTCTTGACGAATCGTAGAAGTCCGGTCTTGAAGAACCATAATCGTTCGGTCTTGAAGAACCATAATCGTTCGGTCTTGAAGAACCATAATCGTTCGGTCCCGACGACTCGTAACCATTTGGTCTCGACGACTCGTAACCATTCGGTCTTGACGAATCGTAACCATTGGGTCTTGATGAATCGTAACCATTCGGTCTCGACGAATCGTAACCATTCGGTCTTGACGACTCGTAACCATTCGGTCTTGACGAATCGTAACCATTCGGTCTCGACGAATCGTAATTATTTGGTCTTGATGAATCGTAACCATTTGGTCTCGACGAATCGTAACCATTTGGTCTCGACGAATCGTAACCATTGGGTCTTATCAACCCGTAGTCGTTCGGCCTAACTGCGTCGTTACCACCATTACCGTATCCCATTTGCCCACCACTGCCTCCACCCGACTGTTCTTCTAACGAATTTTCACCCCAATGTTGAGTAGGCCGAGAAGCAATTATCGGGAAACCGAGTTTCTGGGAATTCCACGTTGGAGGTCTGGGACTGGGAGATGTGACTTCAAACCCGACAATGGGGCGAGCTGTAGTCCAAGTTACCGGAGGTCTGGAGCTATACTGGTCGTGAGTTGTAGGTTTGTCATAACCTTGCGACGGCCTATCGTAACCGTGCGTCGTGGAGGAAGGTTTTTCGTAGTCATGACCTGTGGGTTTATGTACAGCCCCATGACCGCCGTATGGCCTATTGCTATCCACTGGAGGTTTTGACCCGTAGTCTTGATTCGGTTTGTACCCGTAGTTCTGGCCACCATACCCGTAACCGTTCCCGTACGTGACACTACCGTAATCGCCATTGGTGTTCCTGTCAATGTACTTGTACCCTTCATTCATTTTGACTACATCGTACGATCCCGAACCTCCCCAGCCCATCATACCGGGTCTCTTCCGGTTGGCATCATTGTAGCCGGTCCCATTGTCAAAGTAATTGGCATCATCCTTGTCGTTCGCCTGCTGAGAATTGTATGCCTGTTGAGAATTGTATGCTTGTTGAGAATTGTGTGATTGCTGAGAATTGTATGCTTGTTGAGAATTATGTGACTGCTGAGAATTATATGCCTGCTGAGAATTGTAATCCTGCTGAGAATTGTACGCCTGCTGAGAATTGTACGCCTGCTGAGAATTGTACGCCTGTGAATGCTTATTACCGGACTCGTACTTGTTCGGTCCGCCGATCCATCCGGCTATGACGCCCACCTTTTTACTGTCCTCGTCCCAGCCAATGTCTTTGGGTGGTTGGCTCTGCCAATACCCCGATTCAACTTTCACCGGATACGATCCTTTTATATTCCACCGGTCGTTTGAGGGCCTATGGTAATTTCCTTGCATGTAAACTCCTTGTCCGTTGGGCATATTATTAGAAACTGGATATGACGTCCCTTGATAATATCCGTTACCACCACCCATGCCACTACCTTTCTTGTTACTGTTATTAATACCGTGTCTCCGATCCCATTCCGGACTTAAATTGTCGTAACCGTTGCCCCGGTAATCGGGATTTCTGATTTGGTTGTCTGAATTGTAACCATTCATGTGGTTTTCAGAAACGTGACTAGTACCGGCGTAGTTTGTACCCGAAACTGTGTAACCGCTGTTACCAGCTGTATAACTGTTCGGACTATAATCCCCAGCGGGACGGTTGTTCGCATTACCGTAAACGTTAACCAGGCTATCGGAATTGTGACTGTTACTCGGCCGATCGCCGAAACCGTGACTCACCGTGATCCGGTTATTATTGTCGGAACCGTAGCCACCTGAGCCGACTGGCCGATTTTCCGAACCGTAGTCGCCAGATCCGACCGGCCGATTGTTCGACCCGTAACCACCTGCGCTACCGCCGCTTGTGCCGCCATAGTTGTTGGGCGCGTGGCCTGCACCGACGCCAATACGGTCGTTCGGATTGAAGCTGTGGTCACCGTGGATCTGTGTCGTGTATTGAGATCCCGGCAACGGCGGTGGCATGTTTGCGCAACGGCTACACGGGTCGACGGGCTGCCGGCTGTCCCAGCCGTACGACGATATTCCACCGCGAGTCGTCCACGTCCCGCTGGCCGCGGTCGTGGGATAATTCATCCCGTTGCCGTGGTCCACCGAACATCCCGCCCGGGTCGTGCCGGATATGAGTTGCAGTAAAAGAACGCACTTGACCACATAGCGCTGCACACTCTGAAAATAAATAACTTCGGTTACATTGTGTTTCGTACACAGTATAATAATTAATAAAAAACGTCATAATGACTAGTCAATATGAGTTTTTTTCTGATATTTGCCACTGATACTCGAATCGATGTTTGAAATCGAAAACCATGAGTTCATATTGAAATTAACCTATATGTCGGTTGAAAACCAGATTTTATAAACTCTTTTTTCACATTCCAGAGACATGTTAATGGACATTTATTCCCGAAAACATAGGTTTTTTACAAAAAAAAAAAAAAAACCCGTATCCAATATTCCGGTATCCTAAATATTAATACTAATACGTCATAATATCAATATCGAATGTTTTATCGTTTCGATAATGTATCGTAATTACGGTTTTCAGTGTTTTGTTATCTAAATAACTGTCCGTTTTTAAAATAATCGTGAAAACAATATTAATAAAAAAAAAATACTGTGGAAACGTATGATAAATTATTCTGTTTTCGAAACATGTAAACCATATTAAGGTGGTTGAAAACGATTCGTTTTTTTTTTTTTCTATACATTTAGACCAATAAGCTGGAGTAGAATAAACATACTTCCCAGCGGTCCAATATCTGTTTCGAAAAATGATTTCCTTCTTTTCCATGTATGTAATTGTAAAGAAAAATGGTTTCGTTTTTTTTTTCCGTCGTGACACTCAAGTAAGTAGATGTTTTTTTTTTTTTTTTTAAGAAGAAAAATATTAACAAATTGTCTAAGTACTTCAACTAAATTGACTGTAATACACAAAAGCGAGTAAATGTCCCGCAACCCCTTTAAGTACGTCCATAACACTCGTGTATAATACAAATCTGAGCGTTTATGTTTTATACACGCCGAGTTAATCGATTTAAAAATAAATTAAAAAGCAGATACGCTATATGGGTTTTATATATAAATATTCGCATACTTTTTTCTTTTCATAATTTCCCGGTTTTACCGTATAAAAACTAAAATAAAATATAAATACGCGGACGAGTAATAATAATTTTAAAGCTATTATGTTGTTTTCCGCTCGGGTATAAAAGCATTTTCGACAGCAACCGCATGAATGAATAACAACATCGATTGTACGGCCCCGCGAATCGAATATCCCTGACCACGTCACCGCTTTGTGTCGCGAACTGTGCGGCGTGGCAATAGAATTTACGAGGAAAATTAAAATGTTATAATACGGTGTCTGTGTTGTGGCGTACAACGGGATCATAACGAAAACGAGTGTTTCGGTTTTTGTTACGACGGAGTGACCGCGAGCAACCAAACACTGTACCCGATAACTAAACAACATAGTGACGTCATAGTTTCCTTTCAAGTGTGCTAAAATTATTTATCCCGCCGACCGGTAGCTATACGCGCTCCTCCCCCATGCGGAACGGGACGCCGAATGATTTAAATAATAATTCAGTGGCGGATTCGGACGGACGTTTGCCGTCGCCGGGAACCGAATTCAAGGGGCCCCGATAGAGCGCCGCCCCAGACGAACTGCGATGAACAAAAAACAAAAAAAAAAAACGGATAGGGGCCCGCCGGAAAAATTGTATTCGCCGCTGCAAAGGCTCCATACGACGCGCCACGAACAATTTATCGAATTGTATTCGTTCAAATGGCGCGGGATCGCACGAATTATTATTGTATTCGTCTGGTTTTCGTATAATAGCAAATATTCGTTCAGTAATACAAACCGACTGTATTATCGCGTGAAATGCGTGTTTTCAGGTACGGCGCGTGCGGAGAAATCCACCCCGGGAACGGCATTAACCGTCCAATCGGTTACGAGAAGTGAACGGCGATTCTATCACAAGATGAATCCACGACGAAAACCGGCGAAAATCGTACACAACTTCCGACGCGAGTGGATCGAAACATTCAAAGTCGGTTTAACCACGAGCGACAGTGACAGGTATGTGTTATTATAATGACGGCGCCCAGCTATGCGATTGTTTCCCAGTGTTTTATTGTAACCCTACTGCGGGGCGCGACTCCGCCGACAGTTCCATGTACCGCCCCGGCACTTTTCGCGAACCAATACGCGTGCCACCGAAGATGTAAGTAAGCGCGCGCCGGTGTGCGGATTAAACGAAACGAAACGGCAAAATAGTGTAATTGGCTCGACGAAAATAACGCAATGTCCTCGTAGTAATTATAATCTCATCGCGGTCCGCGTAACGTATCAAAACACGTCTTTGTCTTTCAACTGAACCCGCGTCGTTCATCCTATTGTTGGCCGCCGGCAGCCCTCGACAATTCGCACACGTCCGCCACTCGATAATTAGTGTAAACTCTGAGAATTGCCGGTTTACCGGTGTATTGCGTATCGAGTCTCGAGTGATGCGCAAAGGTCGGACCGCGACAACTAACAATGTTCGCCGAGGACATTTCACGCGCGGTCACGCGACCGTTTCGCGCGCGCGCGCGCGCACACGAGCGAACGAAACAATACCCGCGCCGATTGGTAATTTCGCGCGTGGTTCACGGGCCGCGACGATTTAGGAACACAAAACCGCGTTAATTCCCGTCCCTCCATCCCCCCCCCCCAACCCGTCGAATCGTATTAAACGCACAACGGATCGGTTTTGGCGACGTGAAAACTCCTCGACGTGTGTTGGAACTCCGCATTGTGGTGTTCTGCTCGTGCACACCACCCGTTCGGCGTTTCTCGTGTACGGGGTCAGTGCCGGGCGCGGCGTTCGTCGCGGACCTTTGTCCGGAGACGGATTTACGCAGGATTTGCCGCCCCCGGGCGAATTTCGTTTGGCCGCCCCGTTAAGCTTATCAGCGAGAAAACGAATTTTCAAACGCTCGTTTAACACAACTGCTAAAAAAAAACAAACAATAATAACTCGATGTTTGCAAACTATAGCGTTTACTCATCGGGCAATAACCGAATATTGAGTCGATCCGCATCGAAAGTCGCGCCGTCAATAACGTCGAACGTTTAATCAGAATAAACGCATGGACAATACCAATATAGTATCCATTCGGCCGCCTTCTAGTTTTATAGTCGCGGACAAAAATATTGTCACAATTGTTACCTTTCGGATGGAAAAAATTTGTATTTTTGTACACGCAGTGTGCAATAAGTAATGACCAACACTCGGTAAATACGCGTAAAATTAATTTGACTTTTGGATTGCGAAAACACATTACTGTAAATTATTGGTAGGCAGTTTCCTTCAATTGTAAAAATTAAAAATCACCTTACGAAATATTAAAAAAAAAAAACAACTTGTATTCTCAATAAAATATTGGCGTAAAACATTTTCCGCCCTAGGTAGTTGCCTAGTTTGCCTGACGCTAAATCCATCTCTGACTTTATCCCCCGGTCACTCCCCTTTCCCCCCCCCCGAGATAAACACTTATCTGGCGGATCGATTTGCGGGCCCGGTGCAAATTTTTTTTTTTTTTTTTTTTTTTTTATCGCGGGTACCTCGATATCTAACCCGAAGAGGAGTACACGGACATCAGGCACCCCTCCGAGAACGTTGGTTCGAGGCCCGGCGCTGTCGCACGCTTTTCGTACCGATTTTCCGTCCCGGCGATTGTAAACCGCGTCCGAGGTAAACACAAAATCACGTATGCAAACTGCGCCCGAGTAAAATTGAAAAAATTGATAGCTCTGTATCATTGGTTTTCAACCTTTTACGAATGGCGACCCCTTAATTTTTTTTTGTCCGTTCATGACGACCCCTGCAAAAATCATTCAATAAATCTTGAACAGTACGGTGTATAGTATACACGATACTTATGGTTTTTGGTGACCCCACTCGCGACCCCTTTGTGGACCGCGATTTCCAGGTTGGAAACCACTGTTCTATATTTTCGCAAAATCAAATCCTTTTTAACATGGATACTGTTAGGACGCAGTTTACCTTCCCCCGAATCTAACCGCGCTAAAAAAGTACGGTACCTATCTGAACCTAATCTGGACGACTGCATCCGAGTGAGATTTATCCGGGATTTTTATTACACATACTTTTGAATTTTCTGTAATTTGTTTATGCGGTGCCGTAAGTAACTTCTTCCGGTCAAATTGAAATGTTATGACGCGGGGCCGTTTTACCGGGTGCCGAAACAAAAATTAAAAAATAAAACAAAATATCGTTATGGCTACGGGCACGATAATTGGTCTTGTCAGTCATCATTGTTTGGGGCACGGTCACGACTACTAATGTACTACTGTATGTCCGATCGAGTGAATGACCGGTTTATTCCGGTTTGAATTGAATTTTTATGAGGTTTATCGAACATATCGAACGGTCTGAGTTGTTATCGTTATATTTGCACTATCGTCTGCAGTAACACGTCCCGTCGCCGAACCTCACCGGCCTAACCTGACCGACCGGCGCGTTACCGGACTTGTTTTGCCGTTCGGGTTGCCGGCGCGGCCGGCCGGCGTATCGTACGAGCGTATGAGCGGGCGACGTTACGAGGCATTACGCGGGCGGCCGATGAACGCGAAAAAGTCCGTTGGCCGTCACGTGGTCCGAGACGCGGTAATTATTGTTTCGCCAAACATTGACACGGCGAGCGCGCGTTTCGCGACAACGGCCCGCGATCCGGTCCAAAGATTGCCGGCCCGGCGCACACGCGCGTTCGCCTCATTGTTCGCCGTCTCCGATTGTTGAGCAACTTCCTTGTGTCGTTATTATAATCGCCGTCGTCATCATCTCGCCGCGGCCGTCGTTTGCTTTTACAAAAAACCGTTTTTATTCGGCGAATTTACGCGAGGTGAAGACAATGCTCTCGTCCTTGAACGTCAACGCGTGCCGTGCTCGTTCGCGGCGGTATCTGTGTTCGTCCGGCGCATCGAACACGGGGCGGGCCCCGCCGAAACGCTCGATTCCCGTACGTTACGCGGCGCCGGGTACAACGACACAACGATGTCTGTGGCCGTGACACCGCAATACGTCCCGAGAATAGCGTAACGAGCACCCGAGACGGTTAAATCGCCGGTGTGATCGCGCGCAGTGCCGTCGGCTATCGCCGCGTTATCCGCGCTGCGTGGAATCGGACGGTGCACAACGGGGCGCTGTGCGGCATTCGCGGACCCGTCGGACCCAGGAAGACACGCGAAACAGGAGGTGGGGGTTTTAAATACGCGCGCGACGGCGCTCGGCGCGAGAAATCCCGCCAATGGTGCGACGCCGAGCGTAACTGTAAGGGGCCAATCGCCCTCGTCGCCGCGCCCCGTTCCCCCGGGTTCGCCACCGACAACGTGACGCGCAAACATCGTTTTGTGCGACACCGATTGCTTTTCGACCGCAACAATGTTCTTTAAAAAAAACCGACCCGACAGCGGCAAAACGGCGAGTTATTTAAATTCGGATTTTCGGAATTTTTCGAGCGAAATGAAAAACCCGGCGTTTTCGAATAACTCAGACGTTTCACGGCGCATTTCAGTAACCCACGGCGAAAACAATTTGTTTTTTTTTTTTTTTTATGTGAACCAACACGTTCTGACGCAAGTTGTCAATCAAATGATTTTACTGAAAATGTTGATGTATTGTAATCGAAATTTAAAAAAAAAATTTCTACATTAAATACTATAGAATAATAATTGTTCGATTCAAAGACAAGAAACTGCCTTTACACGGCTCCTATAGAACAGTCGGTTTCCAATTTCCATAAAAGGATATTACCTATCCTTCTATTCTCAGTGTTTAAAGCAGAATAACGTAGAAACTTTTTATTCAAATTTCAATTAAAATGCGTCAGAGTTTCCAGAAAAATCATTTGAAAACCAAAGTTTTATCGCCACCGGATACTTCTTAAATTTTGTGAAAAATCTGAGTATTCGAAAATATCGTCGTTCACTGTACTTAAAATTCCAAAATTCTGAATTTTAATGTATGCATAATTTAATCATAAAAAGGGGTGAACATGTTTAAAAACTACCCTGCATACTATATTATATCTACACGGTTATAAAAAAATTAGGTAAGTAATAATATTTCTTAAAAATTATCCTTATCCCCCCCCCAGTTTCATTCGTGCAACTCAAGTGTGTAGCAAATTTTCTATCTTCAGTTACGTTAGGCAACCGAATCAACTTGATAAACTATATTTTGTATAATGTATAATATTAACAACTATAAACGTTGTGTATAAAGTTGATTTGGTTGCCTAATTTACCGATACTTATCGATACTGTAGAATATTTATTCATGGTGATGATTTAGTCATTCTGCAGCGTTTATGCTCATCAAAATATGCATTATGTCATTGGTTTCTTTTTCGCAATGTTTTACAACATTTTTTTATTCCATTTTTTGGTTTTTGTGTAACCCCTAATTATTATGTGTACGTATTTAATTTGTGTTTATTCGCGTTTTTTCTAAAAGATGACAAACACGCGAAAATGTCTTTTAAACATATTTAAATTTCAACTTTGTAAGTAAATGCGATATCATTGAGGTACGAAAAAGTGAAAGGTGGAGGAAATGGAAGTACCGGAGGGGTAGCCGAGAGGGGGTAAGTGGCTTAGATAAAATATTTAATTTGGTACAGTCGACGTAGTTAACTGTGATAAAGGGGCGTAAAACTATAGTGGTCCGGATAAAATAAAACAAAAAATAATTATTGTTAGGTGAACACGGGGAGAAACTTTTTTATCACACGAGCGAAACCAGGCGGGACGGCTAATATTACTACAACACTGAAATTCATTCGTCATAGCTATGCGTATGATCCCAAAAGTGGAGGGTTTTACGTCCAAACTTTCATACGGGACTTTATAAACCGGAGTTTTTGGTCTGAAAGTTCGTATTGTATCACAGGGTCGCATCATTGTTAAGTGTATATACTGTTTACTGTTGTATAGGGACGTGTTCAAAATAACAATCGAGTAGGTTTTAACGTAGTTTTTAACGTAGCCATCCGTCGCGTCATGGTTATAATAAGTATATATATATATATAATAATATAATCATATTCCATCGGAACAGAAAACCCATCATCGAATTGTCAGTTATATAACATGCGTGATATCGTAAATATAAAAAAAGAATAATAATATAATAAAAAAAATGGCAATTTTACTGCAACTGTTTTGTTGTGTCGGTGTGTTTTTTTTCGAATTTTGTCACAGACGTTATTGGAAATCTAAGAAAAATGTTTTAAATCGAGTATACCCGTGCCGTGTGAAAAATCCGAGTCTTCCAAGGTAAACCGTATAGTTTGAATGTTTTTCAGCGTGCCGAAAAAAGAGTTTCCCGGGTGAAAAAAAAGCGCATTATCTTTGCTCCACTCGGAATCCAATGAAAAGTTTTCCATTAGTACATATTATATACATATGCTTTTCAAGTCTGTAAATATACAGACTTAAAATATTCGATAAATTAATATATTCGTATTACTGCACGAATACCCGTGTCATTTATGAACTTTCCATTTAATGAAATTATTGCATTTTTTTTTTTTTTTTTTAATGTATAAAACCTATAAGTTGTTAAAGTTTATAGGATATTATTGTTAAGAATATTTTATATACTATACGGATGCTAGTGTATTATTTATTTTAATAATATTTTCAAATATCGAGTTTTACAATATATAACATTATATTGTGTACCTATATATGCGTAGAAAAAAAAGTTTTTAGAGAATTGAAAATTCCTCGCCGCATTATAGAATATTAAAAATAACGGTTTAATAACAAACTCTTTAAACTCTTTTGGAACTTGCCCCCAAGAGTATTCCGTGGGTCATTATATTAAGTACATGTATATATATATATATATAAAATATAGCTTCCATTGATCGTATAAAATATTAAAAAATAGCCATAAGCTAAATGGAACTACACAACTTTATAGTTAAACAATATGAATCGATATTTGAACGAGGTCTTTAAAAGTATGGAACACAAAATAAAAAAAAAAAAAACCTCCTTGAACATTTTCTCACCGCATTCGCACAGTCGAAATTATCATCTCACAATGCCCCGAGGATATAATATATAATGGTATAACAGTATGCTATATGGTATGATAAGTGCTATATAAAAAAATAAAAATCATATTTTTCACTTATCGCATTTTGTTTTTAATAGCGAATTATATAAATAAACATTGGAATCATTAAAAAAAACGGTTTTCGACCTCAACGTACGACGTGCGGATAAAACCAATAAAAATAATCGAAATTTAACAAGAGTTATAATGTTATAAGAACCTTATTCTCGTATCGATTACGTCCCGGGTAAAACATCCGTAAAGCAATAGAGCTCTGCCACTGGAGTCGATTTTACCCTATCTATTTGTTATGGATAATAATATAGTACGTCATTAAAAACATATACAGTTTAGATTAAATGTACAATAATCATAAAGTCAAACAAAATTTTTGAAAACAACAAATAAGAAAACGGCGATACCCCCAAGGTTTGTGCTTGGGGCGAGCGAGTTCAACAAGTAGACAGTTGTAACCCGTTAAAATACATTTTTTACAGATAAACGATAACTGCATGCTAATCGAATTAAGCAAAAAACTAATAATATCATAAATTGAAGTTATTTAAATCTAAGGTATACAAATAGTCGACTAACATTCATTTTGATTTAAACCCAGTGATATCCATAATTAACTTTCTACATAAATCAATTCCTACATGAACCGCATTGCATTTTCCAAATTTCCAAATAAACTTTTATATAATTTGAATTACTTAAAGTTTTTAAACGTGTATTGTAAACTGGATACGGTTTTAATATCACCACATCAGTTTCAAATAGATACATGATAATTTTTTTCATGATCACTTCAAAATCACAAAACAGATTAATTGTAGGATACCAACGAAATGAAATCACCAACGTAACCCATAAATTAACGAAAATAATTCGATTTGGATACCAAAAATACTAGTACACTCTGTCAGCCCCTCCTTCTCTTTAGAGATTTTATTCGGTGGAAACGAGTAGTCTTTATGTCATTTCTGATCCAGAACTATTCAACTACACAATTAGTTTTCGGCTCAGTAGTTTTGACGTGAAGGGATTACAAAAATCCATCCAAACAAACTTTCACGTTAATATTAATACGGTTATAAAAACATTCAAAATTTGAATTTAAAACTTTAAAGTTTATTTGCATAAAAACTGAAATAAAATTTCACTATTGGTTTTATGATTTTATAATCGTGACTTTTAATTCAGTGACAATTTGTTATTATAATTGATGGTCTTCTCTTTCAGGGTAATCCATATCATCGCTTGATCAATTTCAGATCAAAAATATAATAATATAGAATGAACTTGTAAGTTGTAGTAGACTTTAACCACACTCATTTATATACACCCCGATAAAGTGCGGCAACAATGAAAATACAGTGTACAGTTTATGTATAATATGAAAACAATATTAAGATGAATAAGCGATGAATCACTTTTTAAAACCGTATATCCTAGTAATCATACTAGGATGAGGCGCTGTTCCTAAACTATCCGGTGTAACCATTTATGTAACCCGCAATAAATGTTAACTAGAAAATTATCAGCAGCAAACTATCAGGAGGTAAAATTTCATTAGAGAATACTCACCCCTTGGTTTTATTAGGGTTCGTCAGTTAAATATTCCCGGGTGGGGGGGGGAGGGAGAGAAAAATTTCACAGAAGAAATTTGATCTCGGTAAAACATCACGGAGGTCAACAATCATTAACACACCCTAACGGGGAAAATAAAATATAGTTTACCTTCGAATACAATTTCTATATTTGGGAAGGAACTAGGATGCTACAATGTAATATTTTCAAAGTTTAATAACGTTTTCTCTGCAAGATTATTTTGGTGTGCAATAATGTACGAGTTTGGCCCCTTTAGCCATCGTCAGACGTCGTAAACACAATCGAATAAAACGACACGTTATAAAAGCAACAAATACACGCTGCCGCCACCATCGTATGCAGGAAGACATAAAAACTTGACGTCAAACCTATTGTTTACGTTATACATAATATTATGCGATATACAGGGTGATACGTTTACAATGAAATGCCGAGTAAATTTGATTTACAGATATTATACAGCTATTATTTACCGCGTTTAATGATTTTATTAATAGGACTCGTCTCTACAACAACATATGTTTCCACTGTCTGTTTCGCGTGCAATACAACAAATAAGTAATTTCGCACGTCAGCGATTCCTATCCTCTGATTGAGTTTGCAGGGCAAAGGGGTTAATGCATTTTTTTAAGAAAATAATATTTAATCATTGTATGTATTGAACGCATAGTTTTTTTAATGTTTTATTTTTATCAAGATAGGCGTGTTGTAATTTAACCTCATTCCTCTTAAATTTTAACCTATAATAACCTATATTACGCTGGAAGAGTAAGAAACGTCCATGTTTAGAAAAACATTCCCAACTCATCCGGTCTAAATGATAAATCGTTATAACTATACATGTATGATTTAATCTTAGTATCTATAGTTAAACCCTATATAAGTCATATACATCTAACAGAATTTGTTAGAAAATATTCTCTTTTTAGAACCAGAGTTTAAAAATGTCGGTTGCTGTTTGAAAATAAAATGTTCATATGTCTTATGACATACTTTTACGGAATACGAGAATATAAAATATCGTAAATTAGTAAATTAAACGGTTTTTCTAACGGCTGAACAAAATTCAAAATTGAATCTACTCGAAAACATTGTAGTTCATTTATCGGCCGTGATAAAAAAAATCACCCTGTATGTACCACGGTCGTATGAAACAGATTTCAGAGAATCGTTCTTTTTACGCTTTACCCTACACCTATATTATATGTGAACTGAAAGGTGTTTGTCTTTAAACTCTCCTACTTAAACCGCGTAATAAAAAAATCGCTGGCACATAGGTAGTTTTCCATTCTCGACAATTTGAAATTATTTTGTAGGTACGGTTTATTTATACGGAATATATAATTTGTTTACAAACGCATGTTTTCAAAACTGCATTAGTTATCAGCTGACTTTGCGTCGCGTCATTAAAATTTTGAAACGCATTCAAATTTCAACGCCGCTAGGGGGGCTTGGGGGGCCCGAATTTTTTGTTAAAAACAACTTTACAAAAAAAAAAAAAAAACATATTATACTATCGATTATTACAGAGTACGAGTACAAGTGAGTAGTTAGAAAGTATCTACTATCCATACTAAGAAGTATAGATAAACTATAAAATATAAAATATGTTTTTTGTTATACGACGTTATGAAAAATATGACTTGGCCCCCACACTCCAACCAAGTCTCTCGATCGTTGCATTGTATTGGTGCAGCTGTCAGAGCTCATCGAGTGATAATACATTGTCGCTTTTTCCATGAAAATGTTGTATACATTCATAGATCGGGGTACATACGCGACACTATTGCGACATAATTTCGTTCGGCATATTATTCATATTATTCCGTTTATCACACATCGAATTGCTGAAAATATTGAACTAATAAAACCGCGACATTTATTTCTATATTGTATTTGAGACGAACTATGCGACAATTTGTCCGCTCTATCATTACTGCGGCGTATATTATATTTAATACATATTGTTCCCAGTATGATTCGATAGTTGAGGTCTGAATCCAAAACTATTTACGGCTCGCAAGTACCGTATTTTTACGAGTCTCGTCGTAAAAACCAAACAAATACGGAGTGAATTAATTTAGGTCAAACTATAAAGTTGATTATGGCTAAACTTATTGTGAGACGGCGTTGAACTGACGAAAAAAAAAAATCGCCATTTTCAGAATGCATTTCGGACAGCAAACCAGACCGTTATTACGTTATGTAATTTGTACCGCTAACAAAGACATACATTGTCAACTTTTCAACTTTGAAACGACTTTCAAAAATAATACGGCGACACAATAATCAAACCAGAAATACGTTGTTTTTTTTTTGAAAACGAGTTTTCGAAAACAATTCGGATAAAGAGACACAGACGTTAGCGAAAATATGTTAGTTTGCTTTAGTTACATTTATTGTCGCTCATCAAACGATTTCTGAAAATGCGTTTGCAATTATCAAAGTCGGTAGGTATGTTACAACAAACAACCGGACCGTATTTAAGTCTTTAATTGAGTTGAAGTGTTTATTCACTAAACAATGAATACATAAGTACTTAATACTTATATGCATTAAATTAAGTTAAACCGTGATTGGGTAAGGCAGTTTTACCGAAAAAAGGAATTTTATAACACGTATGAAGTTCGTCTTAATATGGTGGGGATTTTTATGACTCTACTATAAATACGGAAAGAGTAGAATGGACTCGCGCAAAATAATCGTAGCTTTTTTTTTAAATCCAATTACGGGGAGTGATTACGTCGGATACGTTCTCAATACTGAATTCGAATCTGAGTTTGAATACCTATATTTTATTTTTATACATATACAGAGACGCGCACAAAGTGTTTTTGAAAATCAATTGTGACAATTACGGCGGGTTTTTAATGTACTTGCATGCATAGTTTGACAATTTGTCACGCATGTTCGTCTATTTTATTAATTTTTTAGCGCACAAATATTCAAACTTTAATAATTAGTAAAAAAAAAAAAAATCGAAACTGTACTTTAAATTTTTAAAAACACAACCCGAATTGTTTAGCGTTGATTAAAATATAATAGCGCTGATAATATGTTGTATAAAACCAACAACTCTATAGGGATGGGTTTCTATGTACGATCCTATTTTATAAAAAAAAAAGCGGGAAAATTACACGGCAGTAGATCCTATTAATCCTATTTAATATTATTATATTATTTTCGGCCTATATGTAAATACAATTTCGTACAGCGATCAGACTTGAACATTGAATAAGTTGATTTGCCACATATGTATGCTATTTTAGGAAGTTATCAAAATATAGAATATATTTTGATTTTTCAATTTATCTTCCAAAAATAAACGAATTTTCCGTTTAAAAACGAGTTTATCCGGTTCATAAATTAAATATAATTAAATAACGGTGCTTGCAGATTTCATTCAAACGTGTTACGAACGATTTTAACGATTCTATTTTGCAATTTCCTTGAGTCATTTTTCAAGCGTTATAATTACATACATTTTAATAATATTATTAGACATCAAAATACATCAGGTATACATAATCATATCAACGTACGTTTAAATTCATGTTCTAATATATTTCGTTTAAACAAAATTAATATATAAAATATAAAAGGGTGGATATATTCATTGCTAATGAAATACGATTCTCAGTGAAATTCCGTTCTACATTAAATTTGAAATACCTTGATTTTTTCGAGTAACGTCAATAATTGAACTTTAAACGATTATAAAAAAAACTACTAGATTAAGGTCGAATTTTTTTCGACCACTAATTACAACTTTTGAAGAAACTCGTGTTGAATTGTTTAGCTTTTCTATTTGACCAATTAATTTTATCTGCATAAAACCAATTAAAAAGTCGAAAATTTTAAATGCCTATAAATAACTCGACAATTACCACAATGTTTTGAAAATTTGTTCATGACTAGAAACCTATTCTGTGAAAAATGTTAAATGTTTACAATATCATTTTTCAACCGAAATGCATAAAAGACAAAATTGAAAAAAATGAAACCGGATTTTTGGAATTGTTTTTACCAATTATGTGGAAAACTACAAAGGAAAATCAAAAAAATGGTCTCCAAAAGTAACAACAAAATAAAATTTTATTTCAGAATAGATGTTACATTTGAAATTTGAAAAAAAAATGTCTGATATAGAAGAGCTGTTTACAGATAGAAAAAAAACGCGTCATAGTAATACCAATACATTCCTCGCTGAGCTCAAATCTAAAACAGAAATGTAAAGACAATTATATATATTCGCTTCGCTCAGAATGTAAAAGTTTTCCCCAACGGTCACGGAAAAACGTTTATATAATTACGTGACGTGGATATATCGACGATTCTTTTTGCGAATTCGTAACGCCGACAAAGAACAGTGGCTAAGTATATCTTTGGTTCAAAGGAAGATGAGCTTAAGCAAATCTTGTATAGTTTTAAATACAAGCAAATCCAGTTGGGCATTGAACAAAAAAATCGAATACGCTAATACTGCATTGCATATACTATTGTTGAAAATACATACACTTGTGTAATTCAAAAGAAAAAAGGGTATTGAAAAAGCTAATGTAAGTATTCTGAGAAAAATTCAGATCTTAACGATTCTAATTAACCGAATCGCAAATAAAAAAAACCAAATTGAAAATAACAAAACCATTCTATTGCCCGTTTCTCCTATGTTTTTTTCCGGATTTTCCTAATTATTAACCACTCGGAAAATCAAAAAACTTCCTCATCGCCAACTAGATCCGAAATGCAACGAAAAAGGTCTCTAGCCGTTTTTTGATCAGAACGCGATTTCCGGTAGAAAATTTGTCAACAGACACAAAAGACAAACAAAAAACACCGAAAATTCACTACGGTTGCACTTCTTACCCGAGGCTGGAGATATAGCATACGATATCATATTATACGACTTCGGACTTACCCTGCGCGGCCATTCGGCGTGCATGATGAAGTCGACGACAAAAACGGACCCGATGACTTGACGGACGACTACGACGACGAAGGCAAAGACGTGGTGGCGAACGTGCGATTGTCGATGGCGTACTGTCGCCGATGGTTCGCGTAAGCACACACGTCAAGACTTTTGAAGCGGTTTTTCTGATGTGCGGTTTACGCGTGTGTGCGTTCGGTGTACGTTAAGAAAACGCGGACGGGACACGCACACACACACGCAAATTGCGTTTATACGCCAAGACCGAGTGGGCATTGCCGTAACGGTTCAGGTGATACGGTGGCCTCGACGGTCGTCGTTACGATAATATAATAATAATAATAATAATAATAATAATACTATCGTGTTCTTCGTCGTTTCCTCCTCGTCGGATAGCCGCGAAACGCGCCGTATTGCACGTTATAATATTCCGCCGGATGATAATTACCGACCGGTGCGCCGCCGGACGGCACAATAATGCGATACGCGAACGCGCGTGTAATTTTAACGTAATGTAACGCAAGCGCGTACAGGTCGTTTTTAAGAGTCGGCGTCGGCCGGGCACGCCGAGGGCCCCCGGGGCATTTTGTCCCGAGCGGACTGAAAATCCCCGAGACATTGGATCGGCACTCGTGGGTCGATAGTGTATTTAAAAATAACCTGTGTAACTGTATTCACAAAAGCGAACATTTCAGCGACACTTCAGTTTTCCGTTTTTCGCTCGCGCAATATTTTATCAATAACAAACGGTTATATTTTATTGTTATACAGCGGTCTGCAAACTATATGATGACTAACCACATGGGTATATTTAATCTCTGCACGAAAAATAGGAGTTAGTCGTCGAATATAGATATTTTGGAAATTTCGGGGCCTGGGAGCCTACAGACGCAAATGACGCACCTACGACTGGGAGCCCCGGCGACCACGGCCGGGCCGACACTGCAGGTTTTAGTATACGAGTGACGATAACGGCCAAACGTCTCAGTAACCGTATTCGAGCAATTATAAATAAATAAAAAATTCGGATATTACGTATATAAGTGGCGGGCGATGGTCATCGTTTGTGCGTACGAGTTCAGTGTAGGTTTATCTAAAAAAAAAAAAAAAAAATGGGAGGCATTCATTCGTACCTGGAACTGCAAAGGTTTTAATATTCCAGATTTTGCTTGTTCAATTTTCGAAATTAAAATTGTTCAGATATTGCTTGTCGGTTTGAGCGTAAGGTTAGGTATAGGGATAGGGATACACTTTTAGACTTTGACACTGCGATAGATAACTTCCACTAATCATGTATATTTTATTGCGAACGAGATTGGCATGGGAAGTAGCAACATCACAAAATGCTTCTTCGTTTGAACTTTGCCAGATATTTTTGATTCATAGACGAATATTGCATGATTGCGAAATCCAAAAATGTCACTATAATGCTGTCCGTTCTTCTTCTAAAAAAAAAAAAGAATCTATTGTAAATACATAAGTTATACAGCATCTAAATGAAAAACCTAATGTATATCAGCTTTGTTTAAAACGAGAACTATTGTTTTCTGGCATAATTGTTGGCCCAATCTGTCTTTTCTGGTGTGGTAAACTCGTTCAAAAAGACACGAGATTTGTTGTTACCTATTTGTTGTATCCTGTGTTAGTTTGATTCAAGTGAACCATCTAGATGGGTGTCTAATAATACTGTATTTTATAGATTATTGTTTTTTGTTAATATAATATGATATATTCAGTTGTATTCAATTGAAATGTGTTTAATTACGACAACAGGATTCCATAAGTGTCACGTTGATGTGCTTCATATTCGTGGGTGATCAAGAATTATCGATGTATTTTTTGTGCGATTTCCCATCTGGAAATTATTATTCTGTTGAATTCGTTTAATCTGGTACTAACTCTACACCGGTAAAGTTTATAATACGATTTGTTTCACGCCAAACGTAATAATATAACAAAGTATATTTAATATTCACGTTTTGCCAATGTTCAACAGATTTGAACAATGTCAAAAAGCAATTTCATTCGAGTGCTGAATCGCATTACAATATACACAAACAAATAACGAAGACAGGCGGACATTATTAAATAAACATTATTATTCATGATCATTTATTCTGTTACGATAATTTGAGAGTGTCTACAAAGATTTTAATAGATCTCAATTAAGATTTACAAAACATTTTGGGAATAATTTAAAGTTCGTAATACATTATGTAGTCACGCCGTTTTCGACGCGTTGCCCTTATTTCTTGCGTCGTAATCAATATATTTAAATACAAACGTTTGATTTTATTAAATCTTGAAAACTTTTCCGTTTTTATATTTGATTTTTTTCGACTTCTAAGTATCGAGTTCCTACAATTATTGTATATAAAGCGATTATTTTTGCCCAGATTATTGGTGACACCCTACTATGGGTTTTCGAACAATTGGTCTAAAACATTGTCTGGACCCTATCAAAATAGGTAAAACACGTTTCGTCCAGTATGCGCTGCGGCATATGCCACCGAGTAGTAAATAAACACAGTAATCATATAATTTAGGCAAATGAATTAATTTAGCTGAGGCAGCAGAATATCAATTGAAATATTTAAGGAGACCGCGGAACGAACGACACGGCTGGTTTCTCCGCGAATCGCTGTTCGGGTGAGTACGACAATCGGAAACATTTAAATAGGTATCCTTTAATTTGTTTTTGTATTTTGTGTTTCAATAAAGTTTTTTCGCGAATCGCATTATTTGTTTTTCTGTTTAAGTGGCCAGAAGGTGTATCACAAGGCAAAGTGCACATTATGCGACCAGCGCACGTATCGTTTTTCTCCGCTATGCTATATGGGCAATGATAATGTTAGCCAATAATAAGCCAATAAGAACTACGGTATCGGTGAAGTGAAGACAAATTCGAGCGGGATGTGTGTATCAAAAAACTGCGATCGTATCAATCTGTTTTGTCACGGTTCGTACGAATACATAATACTAATAATAGCACAATATAATGACATTATGGCGGACGCCGTCCAATTGCAATATTATTACTCTTCAGTACATTTCGGAAGTAAAACTCACGATACGTAACGTGAATAATTTTTAATAATTGTTTAGTTTATCTAAATTAAAAAGTGCGTTCCAAGGTAGGTATTTTTATTGCACTGGTATAAATCGAAAACCTTGTACATATATACTTTGTGGGCCATGATATTTTTGTTCACCATTTATCGCGGTTCGCCATTTTCTCCGTTATCTCTATAATACCACTAATATTATCACAATTTATATTGTATAAGTTTTTAATTTTCAGGACGTCCTCTGGTATATTTTCTCCGTCCTCGGAGAAGTTATTTGTAAGTACTCCTACACAATGCAACCTTGGCTATCTGTCTTATCAGGTTTAGAAAATCGTTCGACCACAACATCTCCGTATAAGTTGAACCTAACTACCGTATTGCGTATATAATACGATATGCTCACACATTATCATTATCTATATTATTTTGTAAACTATATACGTATTGTGCAGGAATGAATAAAGAGTTATACATTTATAATAATATATTCTGAATTCAAAAAACAAAGGAAGTGAAAATTATTATTTTGTCGAGATCTATAATATTACTCGACGATAACAAAACAAAAAGCACTTTTAACGGTACGCCCTATCCTTGACCCTGATCAAAAAGTCTAACGAAAAGTGAAAAAGCATTTGATTTTCAGTAATTCAACCGCAGAGATGTCACTCAAAAAACATCACCCCTACTGAAATGGAATATAGTCGGATATCAATGATGTATAAAACAAATGTTCACACTTATACATTATCATTAAGTACAAAATATCTAATGACCCAAAACGGTGGCGGTAGAAATTATAAATTGTAAAATCGAAAATTAACCCCAATTTTTTATGCAAAACTAATTTGTGTAGGTAAGAGAAAAAACAGTTTTTTTTAAAAAAAAGACTGAAGATCTTTATATATGTTACCTCTTTATTTTTTTTGAAAATTATTTGAACAGAGAGCAGTAGAAGATCTGTTTTTCGCATTACTTCTCCGTTGCTACCAAATTTATTATTTAGTATAAATATTTTATTGGAAATCCTGTTTTCCCCTTCACGGAGCAAATTCACATAAAGAACTATAACACAATTAAATAAATACAATAAAACTTAAAGTTAGATGCGTGAACTGTTGTTTCATAGCATCTCCTTATGAACGACTAACTTAAATTAATTAACACTACTGTTCATGGGCCTTGGTCTTCACTGCCCAATTAAGAAACTCGCTAGCTTGGAGCCCAACTCCTACGCGATCCTGTTTTTTCTCTCCCGAGCAGTAATGTTTGAACATTTTACTCGAGGTTAAGTTATAAGTTATTATAAGTATCATAGTTGTACTTAGTGGTAGAAAAAATTTGTTGAACGTTAAATAGTAGTTTTTTTGGATACGTTTAAAATTAAAATTTTGACAAAAATCTAAAAATTACGGAATTTCATTCATTCTGACCCGAACTTTGCTCAGAATCGTATTTCGTAAGTAATGATTTATCGCTCACCACAAATATAAATTAAATAACATTAATTTAAATAAATATCATTGTCTTCCTAATTTAAGATAGTAATTGCTATGAAAGAAACAAATTTCAATCATTACAAAATTTAAGAACGGTTCTAAGCGGAATTCAGTGTTGTTTTGTCAACAAATATATATCATATTATAGTAAAATAATTACAACAATGTGCATTTTCATAACAACAATAATTGTATAAAAAAAGATAAAATAATAAAAACTTAACAATAACAAAAAATACGTACAAACGACAATGACAACCTTATTTATAATCTTCGAATCTTTTTTAACTTAAAGAAACAGGTTTTCCTCATTATCTTGAATAGTAATGAGAGTTTAAAAAAAATGACCTTTTTAAAGTACCACCCAGAGAACATTTCAGAGGCTAAGGGTTGGAAAGTATTTTGTCGGAACTTTATTTTTTAAAAGTATTTTGTTGGAGCCGTATTTTGTCAGAAAAATAATTCGTCGGAAAATATTTTGTCAGAACTGTTCAGTATAATATCATCATAAGTACTCCATGACTGCATGTTATCGTCGTTGGGTAAAAATTATATTCCGACAAAATGCGCTTCCAACAATATATTTTCCGACGATAAAATTTCCTAAAAAGTACGGTTCTGATAAAGTACGTTTCCAACAAAATACGGTAACGACAAAATATTTTGCAATATTTTATGCGCCCCCCAATATTTCCATTCAAAAAAGGTGCTATACTTTATAACCGAAGATTACTTTCTGTATGTAAAAAGTGTTCACATAAAAAAAAAATTTAAATAAACATCATTGTAAAACCAATAAATTCCTCGTTCCACTC